GAGAATGTATTTGACATCAAATTCTCTCAGAAGTATGTGTTGTTAGAATGGTAGAATAATTATCGGTCGTGCGAAAGTCCTCTTTCGGTTTCTAGAAGATGCAATGCTAAACCCTGGATAGTTTACTAGCCAGAAATAACCCAAAAATTGGTGGAAAGTTTGATGTGACGCTAGAAAGCTTATCCTATGTAAAAAAAAGTTTTTCTACTGGAACTTCAGAAGTGAGGCCTGGTTACAAGGAATGAGAAAAAAGATGACATTCTGTGAGAAATATCATTTAATATATTTACTCTTCGATAAGTTTCAGCTGATAATTATGGTGTTTAAAAAATAATTGTTGGATGGCACATCCAGTTGACGAGTCCCAAATTGGATGAAATGAGTATCCTGGATTCAACTGCTAGTCATCATCCACCAATTAACTTCTAATTGCACGCCCAGATATCGTCGAAGCATCTGTACAAGAAGCCGACATGTCAACCTGAGGCCGAGCACTTTGGTCCAATCAATCGACGAGAAAATTTAAAATTGAATTAAACATGATGTTCATGTTTGTAAGACTAATATCAAAATCGTTAAAGATACCTTTTTTCAAATGTCAGCAAGTTTTAAGGTAAAGTTACTTCAAATAATACTTCATCGAATTGAAACTTGAACTGTCAATCATCAAACGTTTAAACAATTGGTATTTGCTACGGACAGACAATCCGCTTGCACCATAATATCTCACACATTCATATAGAATAGTTTATATTTCTAATCCAATCATCCTAGTTGTTTTTCTCTTTAACAAAGTCCTCATCTGTAATATGTGCATTGTCATAAGACTTTTTTTATACCAAAAATGGCTTAAAGATCCACTAGCTCGCCTTGTAGCCACAAGGTTCTGAGTGTCAACCCCTATGGGTGCCTACTGCTGGACGAACGAAACAGCTGTCTAGTACTCCCAGGTTTTCCAATGTCAACTCATGATGAAATCCGTTCAATCAAAAGTCACTTTATCCGAAATTTAATCTAAGTTGTCAGGATTAGTCACCTATTGTAGTTTCTCTTTCTCAAATTGTGTCACATGAAAATATTTCAAATGTCAACTTTTAGATAAAACTGATCTTTAGACTTATATAATAGAGACTAGATATGATAGAGAAGATTTTTAGCTCAGGTGGATGATTTTGATGTTGTTTTGTTCTCTGAGCTGGATGGTTAATTTGCGAAGCTTTCATCACCCTACCGGGTGACATCTTCAGCGCATACTTCAATTGACTGAAGTGAGCTTTTAGATTTCTCCACGAGTTTATTAATCATCTCTCCTGGTGACCTTGGAAATGATTGGTTGTTTTTTGTATGCTTTCACACCTTCTAGGCGGCTACTTGTATTGGAACTGATTATTTCTTTGACTTGAACTTTGGCCCTTTGCTTCGCAAATTAACCATCCAGCTCAGAGAACAAAACCACATCAAAATAATACAGACCAAAATATTAATTAAGCTTGCTGTAATCCATAAAAAAAATTTTCCGACTTTTGTTTTTCACACATGAATGCACATACAAATAAATATTTTCAAGTATTGGTTTTGTAGGGAATTTGTTTGATTGCATGGAGGATTTAATGATGAGCTGACATCATTTAGAGAACCACTGGAAAACCTGGGAGTATTGGATAGCTGTTTCGTCCTAGTTTGGGACTTTTCAGCAGTACGCACCCACCGGGATTCGAACCCAGGACCTTCTGGTTACATGGCGAGCTCATAGACCATTGAGCCACTGGGACCCGATCCTCGAATCCCGGTGGGTGCGTACTGTTGAAGAGTCCCAAACTAGGACGAAACAGCTGTTCAGTACTCCCAGGTTTTCCAGTTGTTCTCTAACTGATGTCAGCTCATGATTAAATCTTCCATGCAAATAAATATTCGTATTTATTATCTCATTCACATGAGATAATTAAAGTGTTGCCTAATACATGATAATAATAATAATATAGTTTGTTGAATATACAATAAATAGACTTGCTACCTTAATTGGTTAATTTGTCTAACATGTGACTTTACTAGCTTTGAATAAATAATACTGTACACATATGGACAACAATATGACATAAACTATGCAAAAGCAGTTTGATAGCTTACCGTTATACAGTAAAAAATGTTAGAAAATAAAAGCTCTGGTAGTGAATACTTGCAAACTTTTCAATAATCTTATCTGATGAGAGAGGAATTACAGTGGAATGGAAGATTCATGCTTCGTTCTATTTGGAATTTAACTGCTGACAGAAAATTTACTGTAGGTTTTTTTCTATGCAAAAAGTCTTCAAAGAAAATTGACTTACAATAGTGACATCTTAGATGACAACTGTCGGCGAAGATTGATTACCTGTTTATATGTACAGTGATCACTTGATAATATTCTCGAATGAAAAAAAAATTAGATTACATAATACTGTTATATTAAGGAAATCAACTGTCTACGAGCTCACCTTGCAACTGGAAAGTTCTAGGTTTCAAATTCTAGCGGTGGGCGTGTATTGATGAAGAGTCCCAAGTACTCCCAGCTGGTTTTCTAATGGTTCTCTAACTGATGTCAGTTCACGATAAAATCCTCCAACCAGCCAAAATAAGCTGTGTTCCCAGGCTTTTTTGTAATAAATAGTCTCACAGTTAGTAACAGTTTACATCGTTACATAATATATGGTTTTAACTAACTCTCTTTTGATTTAGTAAGCATAACAACATAGGTTACGTAACAGATATGTGTTAGTTTAAAAGAAGCAAATATAACTTCTAGTTGTATTTATATATATATATATATATATATATATATATCACTGGTTTTTACTTGAGGTCATGTAAATACGCTCAGGTTTGCGACATAATTTTGACCAATGAAAATAACCTTATTCCAAACAAAATGTTTTTACATTGTAAAGTATCCTCAGTGCATTTTATTACTCAAATCTACTCCTTGTTCAGGATTTTTAGGTAAATTTGTAAGTGACGATGTATAATGTGATGCATTATTGTTTTGTCTGAAGCAAAAAACCAATCCCTTATTGTATTTTTTCTTCAAATGCAGTACATGAGGTTGAAAGCCACTTTTTATTATTTTTTATTACAGCTTGATTCCACAGCGTATTTTTGGGTACAGTTGTGGAATTTTCAGCATGTGATATCGGTAGCCCAAATTTTGCAGGCCGACCATAGATATCAGGTATGCGTCGGCAGGGCATCGAACCCCGAACCATGTGCATGGTCGGCGAGCCTCCTAACCACTGTGCCACCGACGCACATTTCGAGACTAAAGGATATAACTAGATTACCAAAAGAATAAGAAATGCAGGGCATTTGATGGATTGTATTGGATGTAAATTCAGATAGTACAGTGACTTAAACAAGCCGCCATTTTCCTTGATGATGTAGATTGAAATCTTATGCGATTACACTAATGAATTCATACACCACACTGTATGAGTTTATTTGATATCAGACATGGTAATACAGTATTAACAACTAAACGACATCTCGAGCACAACTTGACTAATCATAATCATGTCAGTTTATTCACATGACGTACTAACATGCTTTATATAACCTTCCCCCCCTCCAGTTTTTCATTGCAATTTTTCACATGTTAGGGAAGGGTGACGAATAGTTTCGACTGCATTTTTTTGGTGTTGATTCTATAAACAATGATTCTGTGATTGACCTCTCTCTCTTCAGCTTACTATACTACGTCTTTTAAACTACTTTTACCCTATGCTACAGTAAAATATGATTACATTTGAGTGAAACCATTGGTACGGCTCAGCTCTTTTCCAGACTATTTAATTTATCAGGACCAATCGCTATATCCATATCTATAGCGTCTGCGGCAAAGCGGTTATGACTTTCGCCAACCATACAAATGGTCCGGGGTTCGATCACCGACCAGCGTACACGTGATATCAGTAGTCGGCCTGCTAAATTTGGGCTACCGATGTCACATGCTGAAAATTCCATACTTGTACCGAAATAATATGTGGAATCAAGCTACAATGAAGTATTTTTTTAAAGTGTTAAATTCTTATGTTATCAAAATTCAGCTCATCGTGATCTACTAGGTCGACTTATGCAACTGATCACACAGTCATTACATGGCGTTCGTTAAAGTATATTATGTCTGCAAAATTTAATCTATAGGGTCCTTAAGCCGAAAAGACTTGTCCGTCGGTAAATTGGTTCACTTCAATGCCACCATGATTCCAGGTTGCTAATAGAATCAACAAATGAACACGTGCAATTGGAATGATGCAACAATTATCTCTGATATATGGAAAAATACGATAAAAACAAACATGAGGTAGTAAGGCCATATAAACGAAGTGAGGAAACCGTATAAAATACAATGATATAATAATGAGCAATAAACTGTAACTGAAACCGTATCCAGTTATCAAAACAGTATGACCGTATATTATATCAGATAAACGTTTCTAATATGGAATTATATTCCATCACCATGTCCGAATTCGGCTGTTATATCATTCATGTATTACCTTGATTTTTCTTTGCTAAGTAACATTTCCTCAATTAACATTAACCTAACTTCCCTCTAAAAATCTTTTATTCCAAAGCATTCTCAATGCAGTGTAGGATTTCAGGCCTGAGCTTTGAAATTTCAGTAACAATGGTTGCTTTCTAGAATGCGATTGCTAGCCTCACACCTAATTTCCCCCTTTTTTTTCCACAGGTGCAGTACAGACTAAATATGGTTTAGTAGTACATCGGCTAGGAATCGAGCCCAGACCACGTGCCTGGTTAACAATAATGCCTCTTTAAGTGAATGTCTATTTTTCTTAAACTTATTTTACAATTTTTTATTATCATCTTCCCCTTTCAAAGCATATTTCTCTTTTTCTGTAACTTCTACACAGCACCAACAATATGTGGTGAAGTCAACGATCCGTTTGTACTAACAAATAATGTTGAAAATGCACTGAATGATCAGATTCTAGCCGAATATGAAGCTTTCTACATCTACGAACACATGGTAAGTACGGATTGTATATATGAATATTTTCAAATATTCTCTCAATAAATTTCCCCTCCCCCATATATGTATTCACTGTTCTTTTCAATTATTAATAGTAATTTAATTGGCGGATGGTGAGTAGCAGTGGAATCCAGCTTAATGTGCATTTTGTCCTATTTGGGACTCGTCATCTGGATGTACCTGCATTCACCAGCGAGTGAGTCATGATGTTCCCACCGAGGCTCAAACCCAGTACCTATAGTTTCAAACGCCAAAGCGTTATCCACTAGACCACTTGGGCCATGAGAGCCATTGCCTCTTGTGCAATGGGTCATATTAATTATTGAATTGTACTTTAGATTTTCCCGTCGATTGATTAGACCGAAGTGCTCGGTCTCAGGTTGACATGTCGGCTTCTTGTACAGATGCTTCGACGTTATCTGGGCATGTGGTTTAGTGGATAACACCTTGGCATTTGAAATTATAGGCAATGGGTTCGAGCCTCGGTGGGAACATCATCACTCGCTGGGAAATGCAGGTACATCCAGTTGGCTGACGAGTCTCAAATAGGCCAAAATGCGCGTTGTCTTACTTTCCACTGATAGTCACCATCCATCAATTAAACTCTGATTAGATGCCCAGACATCGTTGAAGCATCTGCACAAGAAGCCGATATGTCAGCCTGAGACCAGGCACTTCGGTCCAATTAATCGACGGGAAAATCTAAAATTAAATTAAATTATTAATAGTAATGTTATTAAAATCAAGATTTCATAGATTATAATGTTTACAATAATAACAAGGTTGTGTTTCACCAATAATTATGATAACAATAATAAGGATGAGTAATACTATTATTTTCAGACTTTGAATCAATCAATTTCAATGAGCAAAACTTGTGAAAACTACGTCGTACGCTTAAATTCACCCAATGTGTCTATCATGTGTATCAGGTGTGCTGATGAGACACCAAAACAGACTTCAACAATTCTGATTTGACGAATTATTATTATTTTTTTACTAACCAATAAATGATCAGCTTAATAGACATACAGACACCAGTTGTATACAAAGAATTTTCAAGTCGACAGAAAACTAAAGGCTTTATTTATTTTTAAAAATATCATTCATTAGATTAAAATATATATATATCATTTGAAATGACACAACTTGTACACCTTCCAGTGCGATTCACAAGTACCGAGTAAATATCCAACAAGTCAGCAGAGGACATGAGATGGTACCCATTAATTCGGCAACTTCCAACGTAGATTTTGTCACGAAGTAATATGAGTTAACGATCATCGGATATCAGAGAGCGCTGGATAGCTGTTGTTTTGTCGTAGTTTGCGACTCTGCATCAGTACACGCACGCATCCACAACCTCACCAAGTGTCGAGCTCATGATTTCGGGTTACAGGTGCATAGTGGTTGATCATTTAGCCATTTGGTCCAGGATACAATTACCTGTAGGTTCTAACTTTCCAAAGACATCTAATTAATGTTGATTTGTGACGAAATCTATTTTAAAGGTAAAGTACAAAATCCCTACAAAATCCAGATGTTGGAATAAACTGATGCACCACTGTAGACTGTACCAATCAACGAGTGTTATAATTGAAACGTAGGCAGAATTAGATATAAACAGGCCACCATGCATTGCATAAAATTGCTATGAATGTGGTATATAAGCTTCTATTAGATAAGTATGTTTGAAATAACAATGATATAATATTAATCATAACTGGATGACATTAATTATTGTATGTGGGTGAAGTTGAGGGTTGATAAAAATTTGAATTACATTAATTTAAGCATTGTATCATCAGTAAGTAAGATGATACTTCTGTTCGCCTGTAACAAACGGATTCATTAACATGTGATCATTTTGTGTTTACCCTCTTTAAGTGATCTAAATCTGACAATGTGATTTCGGAGTGCTTTATCCTTTCGTTGTTGGGTAAATAATTAATATGATGTAAGTGAATATGATATTACTAGGGAATGACCAATGCTAAATGTACAGTACTAATAAGAGTTATATATGAACTGAAATTCTCTTTCCTGGGTTTTTGTTTGAACTTTTATTACCATGAAGATGTTGTTTGGAACAAGAGCGAAAGCTTTTCAGTTAAACTAGCTGTCTCAGAGAATTCAACAGTTCTAAAAACATCCCCTTGTGTTATAAATCTTCTCCATTGTTCTGAAGAATTCTTTAGTTGAAGAAAATTAAGTTTTTAGACTTTCACTGCTCATGTTGAGTAAATTACCTGGTTGAAAACAATGAAACTTTCAGAAATAATGACTGGGTAACTTTCGTATTATGTCCGAATCCTGATCCCGATGACGCAAATGAATACACACCAAATAGTGTAAAAATAACCTTCATTTATGATTTGTATTACAGCAAAAATTATCAGTATGAATAATGATTTTTAATAGGCTTTTTGGAGATTAAAACAAAATCAAAACATCTCTAATTTGATTTGTATAATTTAAGTGTCTAGAGCACAGCACAGTATATGACAGAAACGGTTGCTTAGACTTCAAATGTTGGCGGCTATTAGCTCAGACAACAGCGAATGTGGATACTTTAAGATTAAGGATAATAAAGATGATGGCTTGTTTTCTGGACAGTATGTTCATAGAAATTACAGAAATTTCAGTGTGTTTTATTGCCAGAAAATATTTACCTGCTGGACAAAACTTCCTGGTAAAATATTAAATGACAGTAAGTCATTCAAAGCAGTATTAATTCCTGTGAAGTATATTGCATTTTCTTCCTTTACTTCCACGGTAGTTGACACCTTGTGTCAATAAAAATCCTGTTATATTAAGCATGCACATGGTCCGGGGTTCGAGCCCACGCCGGCGCACACCTGATATCTATGGTCGGCCTGCAAATTTTGGGCTACCGATATCCACGCTGAAAATTCCACACTTGCAACAAAAATACGGTATGGAATCAAGCTGTAAATCAAAAATAAATTAAAAAAAATAAATAAATAACTGAATGATCTTATAGTGTGAAATAAAGTAAACTCAGAGCTTTCTGTTAGGTGGAAACTTGAGTAATCCAAGGATTTAAGCAGATTTGGAATTAATAGTGTTCTCTGAGCTGGTTAGTTTAGTTGCGGAGCAATAGCCGTCCTTCTGGTCAACATCTTCAGCACAATATTTAGCATAAAGTGAAATGATTTAAATTTCTTCCTGAGTAATAGAATTGCGTCTCGCGGTAACCATCTTTACATATGTATTGATCATTTTCTATTGACGTGGATTTTGAACTTTCTGGTCACATGATCTACTTTTTATTAGTTGGTATATTTGGTCTATATTAACGTGTTTGTTAATTGCATATTCATTAGAGTACCAGGCTTCTAGGAATTCCCTGACTGCACTTTTGGTGTTTCCTCTGTCTAAAATTTCGACATTATCCTATTCAAACTGATGTCCATAATTATCTATGTGCATTGATATGAAAGAATATATATCACGTCTTTTCACGGCTGATTTCTGTTCCTGGATTCTTATTCGAAGGGGATGGCCACATTGGCCGATGTAATGCCTGTTACAGTTCATACAATTTATTTTTTAAATGGTCATAATTTTCTCTCCTTTTTCTGTTGGATCTTTCGGTTTGCATAATATTGAATTAAGTAATTTGACTGGCTTGTGTGCTGTATCTATATCAAACGGTTTCAATGTTCTAGCTGTTATTTGAGAGATTTTTTCATATATGGGAGGATGAATTTTCTTGTTGTCTTTGATAATGGTTTCATGTTGATGTTGTGATTCGATTCCAAAAACTTTTTGATGAAATTTTGTGGATAACCATTCTTTTTGAAGCCCGTTTGTAGGTATTTTTCTTCCATTCTTTTAAACTCTGGAGTACTACAGTGTGTTTGAATTCTTTTAAACAATGTCTGCACATAGTTTTGTTTGTGAGTAATTGGATTATTGTTAGTATAGTTGAGTATTTGATCTGTGTGCGTTGATTTTCTATATACTTGTGTTTCTAAATTTCCTGTGTTTGTTCTCCTGATTAAGACATCTAAAAGTGGGATTTTGTTATCTAATTCTTCTTCTCTTGTGAATTTGATGTCTTCAAATACGTTGTTTATCAATTTATGGGTATATTCTAAATCATTTCTCTTAATTATTACAAATGTATGTGCATCGGTGGCACAGTGGTTAGGACTCTCGCCGACCATGCACATGGTCCTAGGTCCGATCCCCTGCCGACGCACACCTGGTATCTATGGTCGGCCTGAGAAATTTGGGCTACCGATATCCACTCTGAAAATTCCATACTTGTACCAAAAATACGGTGTGAAATCAAGCTGTAATCAAAAATAAAATAATAAATAAATAAAAATAAGAGGTAACGTACCCAGATTTTAGGTAGAGCTATTAATTCTAATCTTTGCATGACGGCTTCAGCTATTAAGCTGATTGTGAAAAAATCTTTCTCTTACCTGTACGCGAATCTACGAAATCTGACGTACCATTAAAATGAAGTAGATTAAAATTCTATGGTCTTTCAGAAGAAAATGAATCCACTGTAATCAGTCTGAATAAATTATGAAAGTATAGAGTGTACATTCTTCCCCATTTTTCATTTAGGTTGAAAAATTTTATACATCTGTTTAGCATTTCAGAAATCAAAATTCTATACCGATTAGATTACATATACATAATTGCGTTGTATAATCCATGGTTATTCTTCAGAACTTCTAGTTACGTCATTTCGATGTCTTATTGTTTCACCATATAATGCAGTTTAGCGTATGTGGTAATTGTAAATATTTAAAATCTCTTTCTGCTTAGCAGTATTAGTTTACCAAAAAGAAGTGATTTTCTCTGCATTTTTTTTTCAAGAAAATGCTCGTAGCAACAATTGATCCTTGTGAAAAGTACCTCTTTAAGTCAAATGTTACATCTTTCCCCAGACCTTTAGTTTAGCATGTTGTCAATATGATATTACCTATTTATGAACTGTTTTTTTGCACAGTCATACAATGATGGTTTAAAGCCGTTTAAGTCTTTAAGAGTATCAAACTGCAGTAATATCCTAAAACATTTTGAATTATTCTTCAGCGTCATCGTGTTTATCGAAATCACGAAATTCCTTAAACGTCTCACTTTTAAGAGTGCTGACACTATACGTTCGTGGACTTCTGAGTTAATGGGGGACACGTGACGGAGACTATATATGCCACACGAATATTCACCAGATGTAAGCATACACCTCGGAGATTATGTTTCTAGGATTATCAAAAGTAGATGTGATAATAAAAATCTTAAATTCCTAATTATAATTAAGCCAACTGAGTTGAGTGGAAAATTCGCAAAATATCCAGATAGATGTAAGTTGTACGAAAATTTCTGTGTACAGGAAACTAAATGATCATGTATAATTTTGAAAAACGAATCAAGCGTATGAAAGACTGAGTTAGATGTTAAATACCTTGAATTGTGTCTTTCCTATGACTTTTCTTGGTCTTCCCAAATCATGTTAACTATTAGAAAGACATTTCATCTACTTAAGGAAGTTAAGAAACATTTACAGTTTGCTAGCTCTTGCATTCTACCTATTCTTCCTTATCTATCGACCTTAGTCTATTTAAGAAAGGCTTTTTTAAATTGTGATGGGTACTCAAAGCTATCAGCAGGGGCGATTGGGGTACTGTGAAACAAACTTGTTAGTAGTGTTGTGAATAGACACTTAAACTCATGAGAAAAGTTAGTGAATATTATCTTCCCTATGTATACACAACTGTTCCGTTGCATTCCACCAGGTAAGAATAGAAACAGTTATAAAAGACCTTATACTCGCACGACTAACGACACCTTAGTTAGCACGTACGATATGTGATGAAAAAGATGTTAGACACAAGACTACTGGCATAATTAGTGACGGAAAACAGACGACTCTTTTTATTATCCTGTCATTTATATATTGTTGTCACAATTTCTATTGTATATTACTTACATTATATATTACCATTATATTATTAGTGGGAATGTCCCCGTAATTATTTTTCCCCGACTATGTAATACAAAGAGAAAAATAGACATACTGTGGTATTACATGCTGAAAATTTTACATCGTATCAAGAGCATATTTTGTAATAAAGCCTTGATTACACTTAAAAACGCCCAAACCACCTACAGACTTTATTCATTTCGTGAGATCAAAACAAAAACTGCTTTAGTATCTCCTATTGATTTGCACGTCACACAAACTTGAAGACTTGCAGGTGAGTGAAGAAGCAACCAGAGAAGACAAGGTTCCAGGTGAACGCGGAGAAGACGGAGGTGATGAAGATAACCAACCACCACCACCAACAACAACAACAAGTACCAGTCACCATCACTGTGAGAGGTTCGACAGAGGTTCCTTCCAGGCCGGCGGAACAGACGAAGACATCAATACCAGCCAGCTAGAATCGGAAAGGAAAGATAT